CAGACGTGAGGAATGCGTAAATTCCGAATCGGCTTTGTGTCACTCCTGGAAAGGGGGACAACTCGTATTTTGAAAAAATATCCGTTGTTTTGTAATCGGTCCTTGTCTTTTGGGGGGGAGGGACTCGATACTCGTCAATCGTAGTATATGTCGTAAGAGATGAAGAGGAACGGCGGTTTAGGAGGAAGGAGGGAGAGGAAGGTTGGGAATATACGTCGTCTGTCACGATCGGGGGAATCGTAATAATGGCTGCACACCTGCTGTTACAATGACACAAAGCGCGCACTGCTCACTGTTCAGGTCCGGACTGTTAGGCGGATGCTAGAGTGCGAATAGTGAAGCAGAGCCAACAGCGTTTCTTGGCTGGCTGCGCGTTTCAAAAAAAAAAACAATGCGGGAAACCCGACTCGTCTTGTGCGAATAAAACGACAACTAGAATGTCTGTTTTTTATTTCGCAGGTCACTGTGATGTGATTGTATTTCAAACCACAATAATAAAAAAAGGTCTGCAATTATCGTCGTTGGGAAAATAATGTACGGAATGCTTCGCCGTTGTCGCGGGGTCTGGGCAGAAAAAATGAAGGAGGGAAGAGATGAAAAAGGGTCAAAGCCGATGGAAACGTCAGAAGAATCTGGCTCAATCAAATCAAAAGCAGAAAAATCAGTGCTGGAGGGACTCACTAGTGGAGAGAAGTTGGCAGCGCAGCAGGTCCAGTCTGGGCGACTGTAATCGTTACGGGGATTAGGGACGTGTACCAATGTATTCCGTACAGTATGTACTCCACTACGAGTTCGCTCCTAATACCAAATATTCCAGGGAACTAGCGCCCAGCTGGACCTGCTGGAACCTCTGGAACCTGCTCTAGGTTACTACTAGTAGCCCTGAGGTACATAGTCGTCTGCTAGGGGGGAGGGCGTCTAGCGGGGAATTCGCTAGGGGGTTCGAGGGTCGTAGTATGGGTATGGCCTAAGGGGAAGAGAATGCTTGGGCAGGTGAGCAGGTGGGGTTTCAGATATGAAATTCTGATTGGCAGACTTGAGGCAGTGCAAAAAGTGGAAAGCGCGAGGGACCCAAGGTTTTCCAGGTTCAAGCACGAGGTAAATAAGGTACATTTGTACTCGGATACCTAGAGCTGCTAGACTCAGTGCTCGTACTTGTACAATACATCATTCATTCAATATCAAACATTGAATCAGATATCATCCGACATTTATTAAATAGCTCCAACCTTTCTAGACTTATATATTGCCCAATTTTCTTCCTTAGTATTCTGTTCCTATCACTGCAACTCTATGCGACCGGATTCCACTGTATGGAAGTCCTGTCTTCACGTATTTACGTATGATTCCTATGTCCACCTTGGAATCATCCCGTGTACAGTATTCCCAACCCTACTACGTGCGACAATGGGCACCGTCGTCCACATAGCAATGCCTAACCAGACGTCTTTCTCCGCTGTTTCACTGGCTAACCTCATGTCCGTATAACTTCTCGTACTCTACGAATCGAAGCACAAAAAATAGTCAGAGTTACCGAAGCTCAAAATTTGTAGATATACCCCAGACACGCGTCGCCGCGCCTCCCTCCTAAATTTGTGTTTGATTGTCTGCTCACAAGGTACTAGATTTCGGATTGTCAAAGTTTACGGGCGCTTATCTGGCGGCTATCTCAATAATACGCATCCATGGATATATTGAGTTTATACCAAGTCACCGGGAGTTAATTCTCATTACGGGATTAAGAAAACCGGCCTGTCACCTCCAGGCTCTTGTGGACGGGATCAACCACCGCTTTGTCTCTCCGGTGCCACTCAAGAAACCTCCCCACGATTTGCTTGATCTACTCCACTGGTTGTCTCGTTTATGTCCTATCGTTTATGATGAACCCGCGCATCAGGATATCGTAGTTTCTATGGTATGCATACGCAACGTTACCGTATAGCTAGTAGAGGTATGATTTTCCCCAAGATTTGATAGTTTGGCTAAACTTCAAACTGCCAAGGACGACATCCGTACGGCACTTTGATGATACCTTTTATATTCCTACGTTTTTCTATTCGGGTCCTCCTTCCTAAGTCGGCCGCAGCATCGACTAGAACTACGCTACGATCTAATATTCTCAGCAAGTATAAACAGCCTCCAACCGAGTCGTGCATACGCTCAGGGGTCAATTACGCGGGTGCTCGTATAAGAAGGTGGGCAAAAAAGATGTGTCTAATTTCAATAACAAGCGGAAGTTAGCGATAAGTTGTATTTACGAAGCTCTAGTATATACTCGCTAACATTAGCGAGCTTTGCTAATAGTACGAAAGCAATATGCTTCGAGTCGGCGATTCGGACCCCTCGGTAAGAGGTTTAGCATGATATGTCAACTCTTTTGGGTCTTACCGGTCTTTGGACTCTCCATTTCGTCCCTACCAGAGATAAGGGATTCTAGGACCGACCCCAGTGACTCTGGCACTACCATCTCATTCGCTGTCCCGACTGCTTGTGGCTCGCTAGACACTTTACCAGTTACCATTTCGGGCATCAAGATCAACCTCAGGGCACGTCGCGAATTGCACGGTACCGTCTTTGAGTGACAGGCAAATACATATCGAAACGAGTGGTTTGTTCGACAACAGCCTACGGTCGTAACTGGTTTGCTATTAATGCGGGCAGTGGATAAGCCGTAGCACGTGGAACTGTAGCTGACACTTCAAAGGCGTTGGCTTTTGAAGCGCCTCGGCTGACATACACCAGCCAGTCATCGCAGCCCCTTAAACATTGGATGAGCTCTTTCACGATCAAGTCACATGACTAAGGTCCAGGCGCAAGAAATTGCAGCCTCAAGCAGATAGCCGCTTTCAGTCTACTACAGTATCACTGATTGGCCCTACTTTTGCGGTTGCTTTAGCATTATAATGCAGTCATCATTAGACGCGGAAACCCCCAGCCCGAGAAATAATATCTTGACGTCAATTCCCTGATGAGACAGGCCCCTAAATGTTGAACCACGAGAGATGGCCGAAGCAAAGGAGCTAGCAAGCAGTTCGGAAAACTTACTAATCAATTCTTGACAATGGCATATGAGTAACTTATCCGCGAAGCAAACCGAAGGCTATAATTCTCGCAAATCGGCATCCAACCGAGGTCCGGTCAACCGGCAGACGGAGTAACACGAAACTTGGCATAAGTTGACCCCATTTCCCCGATTCGAAGCATATCGTCATCGCGACTGTAGAAGTTTAAACTGGGAGCTTGTCGAGACGGCTTGATGCCACTTTCCCTCCTTCGGAGTCATTCGAGACGCTTTAGAATGGTTAGCTATCATCTACGGCCCGCAATGGATGGCACGTTGTAGGCTCCCTACCCGCTGGAAATTTAATAAATACTCGCAGACCCGAAGCAATTTCGGCTATCGACAATTCACCGCCCTCCGTCTTGTCATGCGTGGCATGAACGTTGCGTCACAATAGGTATCACCAATGAGAATTACCCCTTCGCTAAATGTCTTTAGGCGATGACTGTCTCTTCTCACCCCTCATTCCCGATGGATAGCTATCAACTGGTGCACCTGGTCACACCGAAACGCCAGCATCTTCGAACCACACCCACACAATTCTTAGGTACCTGGGCATACTACCTCAGAGTTCACCCATTCTTGAATAGGTCAAGTGCCCTCGAAGCAACTGGAACATACCTCGGCGGCAACGGAGATATCATCCAGAAGAACGTCCCTTCCGCGAGCACGTGGGAGCAGGGTTCGACCGTTGACGTCCAGCAAGTCCAGGAAGCATCCCCGAAGAGATGATTCTTGATGAGCAACAAGTCGACGCTGTGCTCTAAACATATGGCCAACCGACTACGCTGAGCCGGCACCACCTTGTTTCCTTATATACGTCGTCTGGGGGCTTATTCCAGCTGAAGACACTGATTTTAAACCCGAACTTCTAGGACAGCGAACCATTGAGGTGAGCGTGGTATGGCCTTATTGTGTGGGTTGTCTTGCTATTACCAGCGTACGTCTAAGCCTCGACTTCCATCGTCATAGATTCTTGTCCCGGCCCATTAAGGATACTTGGGGGATCTAACGTTCGAATGAGATATTCCTGCAGTTTCTCCGTGTCCCGTCCCTTCCACTCACCAATGACGGACATGCAAATAGCGTATATTGTATGTTCGAAGTAGAGGATGTCCATTCCGCTGAGCATGTTGCCTACTCGAATCAGATATCTCATATAGCGGAGTAGTATCATATAACAGAGTTCTCACGCCAGATCGCATCACTTTAAGCTACATCTAGGAGAGCGCCTACGGCTAGAAATAGACATCAGAGAATAAACCGCCACGTCGACTCCTACAAGTCTTCACAATACTTCATGCCAGAAGGTTTGAAATAGTGCACAGCGCAGTCAGCTTGAAGCATCCGCCCCTTTCCCCATATTTATCGGGAGCCCTGGATGATGATCTTGAAAGTCTCGGAGGCTCTTTTGAGACTCGCACATCGTCGCCAGCAATTCTTGAGTAGGTGAGTAACAAGAAAAGCTGACTCGTGATCTCTTCGACCCCGTAATGGCTGTGCAACACTAAAAACAAAAATTAACGTCCAAACAAGCGTCGTCGATCACTGCCCAGCAAATACCCATGGGCGTTACCGTCCGTATTCGTACTATATCTATCCGCTCATGCAAGTGACGTTATCTGCGGCCCACCGGCTTGGAGAGACAGGCGTTTGGTCACGCGGAGGTTGAGATTAGCTATATTTTATTATCTAGATTAAGCCTGATTGTATCTAGCGACATGATCAGCCCCTACTTAAACCCGAATTCGTAAATATCGAACACATCTATGGATTATGACTGGGTCACTAGTTGACGCGGCATTCGGAGTTCGGATGATCAAACTATATGTCCCTCAGCGGAGCAATGGAGCATTTACAGTTCTTCTAAACCCCGTGCTAGATCCGTAGGGGAAAAAAATTAATTCACAGATCCGATCGTAAATTTTCAAAAAGAAACTGCTCAGTATGAGGGTTGAACTCATGACCTTCGCATTACTTGATATTTCCGACTCGAGAGTGGAGATATTAGTACGACGCTCTAACCAACTGAGCTAACCGAGCTTTCGATCCAATCTTTTCGATTGGTCGGTGGTTGTTGGAAAATCGCTCTCTAATGCAGGTCTATAGCCCACAAACATTTTCCCTAATTGATTCCATTTTCTTCCCCTATATCAATCCCTAGATTTTTCAATGTTTCATATGAGTGTCTATAACCTCTATGCCCTACGTTATAAAATATTTTCATACGAGAATGCATCGACGCTCCTACGTACATGTAGAGCGAACATGAACATAGACCTTGGTTGGTGACTACAAAGGTAAGTATTATATTGAGCGTTGAGGACTAGAAGCTATCCTTAAGTGATCTCCTTCATTTCACCTAAAATGCGGCATGCCGCATAGCGAAGCCGTGGAGAAGGCCAATAACAACTCTCCCCCAATCATAGGTGTACTTGCAACTTCTCTCCGTCTTATGTATGACTCGTGAAGGTCCATTTAGAACGTTCTCCAAAGCCGTCCCAAGATATCACTCGCTCCATTTGAGCTAGCATTGTCCTACTCCCCTTCCATATGTCAACATCGAAGTCCCCGGTGGGCATCTTGCATATACACGTATCTCTTCACCTCCTAAGGCCCCGGAATCAGGGTCGATACGACAAGCACACCAGCGGCATCGGGGCTTCAAGTGACACCGCACAACTATCCCTCTCAAATTATGATAGCTTCATGTGGAGTGAGTCGGTTCAATTCCACTTGTCACTTTGCGGGGCCGGTAGGAAAGGTTGGCGGACATAGGAGTGGGTGTGTGATACGGATTCATGCAGTTCATGATGCTGACCCGCCAAGTCTGCAGAAGTCACACGACAGGTCAGGAGAGCTGTTTTGATTTGGTTCAATAGTCACATACATGAATCCTTTCACGACGCCAATGCTCCTCTTCCCCAATTAAACGTCTAGAGTAAACCTCGCAAGCTTGATTTTTTCAGATGAGTTGTAATCTGTCGGTGTTCGCGTCTTGACTATGGCAGACCTACGTTCATAATGAGGCCGAAATGTGTAATTCTAAGTCCTACAGCAAGATAGGCATCTGACTGTGCTTATGGTGTGAGGGAGCGTAGAATGCCTCGGCTCAGTGAGACAACCCTACTACCCCATGTTAGTAGAGAAATGACTAAGTGCTATTCCCGATGAAGCCTGGGGTCGTCTGTCTCCAGGAACTATAGCCAAGTATGCTATTAAAAGCACTGCTACCCAGGTAGTAGAAAGATAATTCATGGCCTAATTCCCGGGAAAATCTCGTAGGGGGCGCGTCCCTATAAGGTACGTTGAGGCCAGGACTGTCATATACTAATTAACAATACCTACCTCGTAAACGCGTTACTAGGCCAAGATTAAACATACAAGACCGTGGACGGTAGTCGAAGCATAAAATCTAAAATCGTAGATTCATGCATACCGATAATGTACTTCTCGTCCTAACAAGATCAGTCAACCCAGAACCACCATCAAGACCAGGTCGCTGTGATATAGAAACCACAAACACCCTACGGCATACGTAACAGCCTCGTCCTACCTTCCGCTAGAGAGTGAGACTGTGAATATTACCATGATCAGATGCAATTCCGGAAGATGGTACATAAATAAAGGAGAATATCTCTGATGACTTGCCGAATCCGCTATCTGAAACATCTGAGACTATCACAAATAAGTCCCAATATATGAATAATTTATGAATGCCTAGACTTGGTCTTTCCGAGAGCTAAGCCATGGCAAAGCCAAAATACCAACGATCAGCACTGCCAGCTCCCACCCAAGTGACGTCGTAGCTGATTAGGTGGTGAGCCTTACGTATATAAAGCCGCGGGTTCGTAGGAAACCATCCACGCCATCGAAACTAGGGTAGGACCTTGGCTTGTTTGATTTTAGAATCAGGACAGCACATGTGGTTCTTTAGACCGGGAAGAATTGGCGATATCAGACCAGCTGGATGGAATGCCTATGCCCAAAACCACGACGAAGCTATTACCGGTAATATCCTAGTGTCAGGATACCAAAAGTACGGTAGCTAACTGGCTACGTATAATATTTCAATAGAAATTCATAAAAAAAAATAAAAAACAGTGAACCCAGACCTGGGAGTGATTCGAACCAACCTCTTTCAGTGCGTGCGTTTTACTGCGACCTACCTACCATTCCACTATGCTTGGTTTTCGAACGCACCACTCCGCATGGTCTTTGTTCGCTGTTGAATAATTCGTTTGCTATCAATCATTATATGTTGAACGCCGTTTCGTAGCTACGATTCACTGGCCCCTGATCCCACCAATCGGTCAACTCAGCTAGATCATCAAGTACCATGGTTTTAACGCACATTAAATGCGAAATCGATTACTTGTGGGACTACCAGTTACTCTCTGACTAGATGGACCTCGTGCCATAGAACTGTTAATGGTAGATCAGTCGGCCACGTGCCAACATAAAATCAGTTTAAATAGAGATTCCCTAAAAGGCAAACCCTCTTGGAGATGGGAGAAGACGCCAGCAATCTGTCACTTGGGACTGTTAGTAGCCCGAGAATAACAGAAAATCCCACTATGCCATATGGTCCTCTAAGGCTTTCTAGCGACGAGGAACTGGCGTTAAATAGCAACTAGTCCATTCTACTGGTCTCATCAAATCTCCATTTCTATGATGGTGACGCCTCAGAGGCTATCGGATTGTGACATTCTCATAATGTTCTCATCATACTTGTACTTGGGTAAAATGAAGAACCCGATGCGAGAGGTCATCTTGGAAAGCCCGGCCATGTGTAGTCAAAGCACTGTCTTTAATTAAACTAGCCATGTAACTGTCGTAGACCACGAGCCTCCTTCGCTTCTCCTCCTCTTTTCGCTCAGTCAAACCCAAGTACATATGTAGCCATACTACTATTTCTCTTTTCAAAACCCATTACTTGAGGATGGTCCCCTTGTGGGTGTTCATCAAACGCAAGGCGATAGGTAACCCACCGTTCTTTGGGGTCTATCCAGTAGGGAGAACAGTTCTCGGCGAGGAACTAGATTTCCCAATCTCCTATTCAATATTAGCGAAATAAAGGTGAGATATCAATCCCAACTCTATGAGCAGCTCCGGGCAAGGAAACATGGGAATCTCTATAGCAGTCTACTTGGTTGCCGAACATATCTTCAGCGAGCGCTCGCAAGTTACTCAACTCGTTCAATACAATCGACCTGCGAATGGCCGATCCTAAGATCTGTCACATAATGCAAACAGCTCTTGCGAGAGTATGATAGGCCTTTGCTTGAATGATGGCTATTTTGACGATTATGCTGCCTGGCTACAATGGACGTGGATGAGCTACCCGGCAATATTATAAGGGGTCAATTTCTAGAGGGATTCCGTCTGGCGTCCACGGGTGGATGTTCCTCGTCTAAATGTCTCGCTCAGCCACTCATTAATACTTGTCAATTGGTGACAACATTGAATCACATAGAGCCGATTATATGAACTATGTAGGATTTAAATAGAAAGAGTAAAAACTCAATCTGGCCCTCTGTGTTTAAAGATGACGTTCAGTTACAAAAGACGTACGTCGAGCCATCGCCGACACATTAACATTTTGGGCAACGATCCTTGATCTGATTGGCTGGTTCTGCCTTTCTCGCTAAGGGCTTACATACCTAGCGGTGGGGCTTTCTATCATTTAGCCCTACACCATGCAAATCTATATAATGGTCAATACCTAGCAGTTTCCCAACAACCACCGATCAGCTGGAAAACAGCTGGATCCATAGCTCGGTTAGCTCAGTTGGTTAGAGCGTCGTACTAATATCTTTCGGAGTTCATCCGGGACATATCATGTAATGCGAAGGTCATGAGTTCAACCCTCATACTGAGCACTTTCTTTTTTCATTTCCAAACCACCCTTTTTGGGCCCTTTATTTTTTCCTAGTCAATCGCGCCGTGGTTTGTTTATTTTTGACACCAGACTGGAATTATATCCGATGTGTTTTAGTAATGTTCTACTGCTTGAAGGTCTATCCTAACTCCCCACCAAGAACGAGCGAGTCCCTAATTAGTTGATGCCTTATTACGTGTTTTGGCAGATATAAAAACGTGGGAGCCGAAGAATCTTCCCCAGCCGAGTGAGTTGAAGGTAGGTGGTAACTTAAAATACGCCACGCGGATCCGGATGCACTATCTTTATGTTATTGTTTTAACGTTCCATTCAGTCTTGATCTGTATGCCTGGCCGTGCTGGTTAAGTCCCCTTTTTATGTACTTGGTGGCATATACTGTCTTGATCAAGTCTCTATATACATGTTGACAGGGGAAACCTACTCGTCATCGCGGTTCTTAAAGTGTCCCTACATCTTAAGACGCCCATTAGTTTCATTCACGAGCCACTCTGGTTCTCTTAAGACGAAGTGCAGTAAAATAAAGGACTCGATTGTCTAGAATATACGGGACTAAAGTCGAGGCTACGGACCCTCGCCTTGTAGTAATTCACAACAGTTCGAGACCAGGCAGCCAAAGCCACCGGCCTGTCGACCCTCACGGCGCCTTCATTGGCCGAATTGAGGAGTAAAATAGTAAAAAAATAAAATCCGCGCACGCAAACACTGCCTAACTGAATGTCCATTCCGCCCCCTTTCTCTTAACGCCTTTGTGAATCAAGCGTCGTGTCGCCGTAGCAATGCAACGCCAGGACTTCACTCTCGAACTCCTAAGCGCCTCTCCTTCCGTAAAGCCGATCGGGAATCCATCGCGCATATTGTTGTTGCATACCTAATTAACATGGAACAGTCGAAAAGTGAATTGAACCGATGTAACCTAGCCCGAGCTGGTCGTCGATTCTGCAAATACAGTGTAGGTTCGAAGTAAAAGATGGCGCGGAAGTCAAACGTAATTATTGATACAGAATTAGAAGGTCCTCCACGGTTATCGTCTTCGACTAGTGGTTTTGCGTTTCCTTGTCTTGGCGGTGCTCTTCTTGGTAGGACTGGCGGCTCCGGTTGCCGGAGCTGGTTCTGCGGCGGGTTCGGTTGTGTTGGCGGGCGAGGCAGTGATGCTATCCTCGTTGATCTCGACGCCAAGTCCCTTCAACTCATCCTCGTCGATCTCCGTCAGCTCCTCACTAAGGCTGCGGACAGCATCTCGCCCTTGCCATTGCTCCTGGACTGCGGTGGTGCCTTTGGGAGCAAAATCATGGTAAAACCACAAGATACCGCCATCAGTGAGTGGGTCGGTCGGCTGGCGCCCCAAGCTGCCGTTTGACTGAGGAGGAGTAGGGGGCGCAGGTCGTGATGAAGGTGCGGCGCCAACATAACCGTTCGTTGCGGGCGGCGTGTCCACGGGTTGCATCTCGTCGTTCAGGATTGGCTTTGTATCAGCCATCTGCGTGTCCTGATTGGATATGATATGGTTGGTTGACTGAACACCATCCATATCCTCGCCAACGTCGAAGCCGGACGTGTTAACCTCGATATTACCACTACCGCCGGCTACCTCGTACTGGGCACCGGCTTCCGCCATAGGAATATCTCCCTCGGCTCCCCCACTCGTAGAGCTATCAAGTGGGCCGCCAACGGTGATCTCTGGAGCTGCTGAGTCGACCATAATGACGTCCTGGCTTCGCTCAGACTCTACGTTGCCTTGGTTGGTAATTAGCTTGCGTAGTTCGAGGCTCGCTTCCATCAAGGATTCTAGCTCCTGTTTCATGCTGTCGAATGGCCTGTGAGTAGCCTCAGATTCGAGGCGCAAAGCCGTTTCTAACTGAGGTTGAACTGACTTAAGAATTCTTTTACCTAGTTTCTTTCGTTCCCGAATATCGGAGTAGTCGACCTTAGATACCACTGGAGTAATCGGGCTGACTTTTTGTTGTAATTCCGATTGAGGTTTAGGTTCAGTGTTCACTCCGATGTTGATGGCATCACAGAGATCATGTGTAAAGCTCATGGTTGTGGTGTAGAACCGTTCATCGACCCTGTTGGACAGCTTCAGTAGTCCTTCGTAGAATATGTTTTTGTCAAGCCTAATGAAGTAGTTAGCAAGCTGGGGAACGAATATTGACTGCATATCAACTTACATTATTGCTTTCTCAACGACCGGTGGGAGCATTTTGTGAATAGGAAAGTAGCACGTATCAACGAATTCCTGCTCCATCTCGGCAGCCTCAAGTTTGTTCTGCTCTCTCTGAACTACTGCCTCCGACAAGACTTTGAGCTGTTCCAGGTCTCGTATGAGTGTCTCGGCAAACTCGATTCTCCTAGACAAACGAGCTTTGCCGGAAGGTCCCATGGCCGCGAAGTTGCGCCGAGTCAGTTCCAAAGAGGAAAATGTCTCCATCTGAAGCTGCAACCGCTTGAGAAGCGCGGCGCCCCGGCGCATTTCGCGCTTCAACGTCCAATAACGACATGCGTCGCTCACGAACTCCTTCCTCTTGAGGAAAGTGAAGCGCTGCAGCGATGCTTCGACTATCTCGAACACAGCTTGCGGTATAACGGGGGCTCCGGACGGCAACTTCCAGATGGACTTTCCTGCCTGTCCCTTCTTATCTCCAAGCACGGCAGATAGTTTCGCTCCGGTCATTTGCGACTCATCGGGCGGGTGTTCGGTTATCGCATTTCTGTGCGACGCTGCAATGGACATGGCCTTAGCTTGGCTGTTAGCCCAGATACGATCACCCATTGTCTTTTTATAAAATTTCTTGGCCCTCTTCGTAGCGCGGACTACGTCATTCTCCTTAGCGTACTCAGAAGGGCAGTGCTTGTCGCAAAGTGCTTTGAGATTGGTGCTGCCGTCAAGAACGTCCAGGGCACCTGAACTATTCTTCATTTTCAAGTATAGGCGGGCGCGGCGGGCACATGTTACGTGGAATGCCTGATAGCACGCCTTGTTACCGCATTGTATGCAGGCACCCATCTGCTGGTTGCAGATGTAACAGGTTAGCTTCCAGCGGCTCTTGGGGACCTTGTCCACATCCATGACCGGCTCCATAAAGGTGTGGTTACCCAGCGTCACCTCCGGAATCCACATGGCGCAGAGCAGATGTGCCCACTTTGACGAGTTGGTTTGCTTGAAAGCGCCATCCGAGTTGGGGCAGAATATACAGGTCTGGACACCGTTAGTTGTGGGCTCTTTTGAATGAATAGGGCGGGACTAAAAGAGAAACTGACCGGGATACCACGACCAATAAGCTGGCATTTTCGACAAAGCCATTGGCCCTCCGGAATAAATGGAACACCATAACATTCTTGGTGGACCGCAAGATCGCAACCATCACAAAAAACAATTGCGTTTGTGTTCTCGCAATCACCGTCGTCGCAAATCGCACACTTGCTATCTTGCTCTTCTCCAGCTTGCGGTTCGCCATTTACGGCCGCAGCGGAACTAGAACGGGGCCGATGGGTCTGCGGCGGCTTAGGATTGGGCTTCGGGATTCTTTTCTCCAGCGCATGCCACTCTTTTTCGATCTTGGTGATGGTAATCTCAAATACCTCACGAGTGACGGTATTCCAGCCTTGTGACAATCGATGAGCATTATATGCGTCCAACCACATATCGTCCTGCTCGTCCATATCGTACTCGACACGGCCCAGCACATTTGCAGGTTGAGGTGCCGATTCTCCATCAGCTTTGACGACAGCAACTTGTTCCGCTTCATCTTCGATGTTAGCGTCACTCGCCTTGATCAGCTTCCTCTCCGGTCGGATAAAGTTGTCGCTCTCCTGATATCCGACGTTCATCATTGCTTTGTCAACATATCGAGCTTGGCCAAACTTCTTGCTTTCAAAAAGAGCTATGCGGTCAGTTTTACGATATGAGGGTTGCTTCAAGTCGAGCTTCTCCTTGGTATTCTGACCATGGATGGGAAGTGGGGTAGGTGTATTTGGTGCCAGCTGTTGATCTCCACGGGTAGCATATAAGGAGTCTCCTCGGGGCAGTCGACCAGCTCGTCTTCTAGACGGCGTCACAGTTGGTGCAACAAGAGACATGCTGCCACTCGCCGCATTATTAGGTGTACTGATAAGGGATGCAGGGGTCGCATTGGGGTCCTTGGAAGGGCTGCCACCATCGATACTATCCACGCCAGTGATCTTTGGTAGTGGGGTTTCCGGTACTGGTTTTGCGGTTCCATCGATGTCCTCAGCATGAAAGAGCATAAACGTGGCGTCTATATCAAGGTTTGGGTGAAACTCCTCCCAACCGCGTTCTTCTCTAGGTTTGTAACCCTCACTCTGCACGACGGCAGCAGCCACTGCGGCTGCGGAACTGATCTGCATCTCATCGTCTGCTTCGACTCGAGTTGCTGTTCGGGTGCGGGTGCTACGTTCACGCCTAGGGTAGATAGCGGGGGATTCCGCACCGTTTTGCGAACTGTGCCGTACTCGCGAGCGACTCGTAGTCGCAACGGGTGTTTCGTCTTTGTCATTGCCAGTTTTGTCAGTCAACCTACTGGCACTGTTAGGACCACTAGCTGCAAATCGCCGACGCTTCGGAGGGGGTTCAGTTGCGGCCACTATGCTGGCGTCTCTAGCGCGTCGCACAGTGTTGACAGAGCCTTTGGGTCGACCACGCGGGCGCGAGAGAGCAGACTGCCGCGGTGTTCTTGGACTTGGTGCCATCGCGACGTGAATATTCGGATCGTTTTGTGATGGAGGCCGTGAGGATGATAAGGGTGCACTAATCAGCGCGTCGCAAGAAGGGGGCGAGGGGGTTTATCATGCGATCCCAGCCGACAAACAGGCATTTGAGAAGGAACATTCGGAGTCAATAAATGGTTCGCAGTAACACGAGACGGTACGGGAATTCAGGATGGTTATTTCCAGGTCGAAATTCGTCGAGGAAGTGACTCGGGGTGGAAGAGATGTCGTCGAGGAATGGTGAAAAGCAACCAG